AGTGCAAACGTCAATGCGAGGACATGCATACATGTATGTACTACGTGTAGGATTAGCCCAAGACTGTGGGGTTCGACGTTCGCCCCGCTCTCGTACAGGCCTAGTAGTAGTAGTACTAGTAGTAGTGTTTCTTTCGTAGCTTGCCTCCCACCTTTGCGGTCTGGGTTCGAATCCCAGCTTGGGGCTTGGGTTACAGCCTACATAGGCCTAGTACATGTTACTGTTTGCATATTATTTATTTTTGCACATTATTTTTTTAAGTTAATTATTAATAATGTTTGTAGTTTTTGTATTGTTGTCATAAGTGTCTATGGTTCCTCCACTTGACAAGCAATGCTTTTTGGGGGTCTCCATCCATCAACTAAATATGTACCATTGCTACCTTTTTTATATTGCATGGAAAATAAAGTGAAGACGTCCACATGTGGATTGGGTTTTTAGTCCCTACCTGATCCCATGGGTTTTACTCAGAATATTCCCCAGGGGTTTTCCTCCCACCACTAAAACTGTGACTGCTTCGCTTCATTTGTGAGCTATAGTGCTTTCAGTCAGTCAGTGTTTTTGAGGAATCTTTGGTGTCATCAGGCCTACCAGAAATAAATAATAATAATAATATACACAAAAGATGAAGAGAGTTACCTTATGAAGACATGTTATCAATTGTAGGATGTCAGAACACCCTGACTTTATTAAGTTTCAACAACAGAAGGTTGCAGTTGTTAGTGTACTGGATAAGTTGTTGAATTATACTGTTAATGCTAGGCCTAAATCTCTAAAGACCAAGCATGCTACCGGTAATTGAACTATTGAATGCTCTTCAGTTCATGTTTGTCTTGTTTCTTCTAACGTTCCATGTTGATTTCATTTCATGTATTTGTTTGCTTATTTTGCTCATTGTAGTTCCTGACTAATAAAAATGGCTTATCAACATTTTTAATTTACATGTACTTTAAAATAGTAAAGGAAATCTCAATTCTGCATACATCTGAGTGGTACATTTAGGACACCTTCTTTTCATTTTTAAGCATCTTTAATACATGTAGGTGGGGGTAGACATGCGGGACATTTGTGAAATGGCAGTTAGCAACCTCACCACACCGATGAAAACAACTGCGGCATGGGCACGCGTATGTACTGATCAAAGAAAAGATTGAGTAGCCGATCCTCTGACTGGCCGGTTCGCGAGCATTGCCGTGGTCACAGTTGTTTCATTGGCATGGTGTGGTTGCTACCCTCCATTTTGTGAAAGTCCTGGATGTCCCCCCTGGCAGCCTAATTGGTTTTTGTCCATTCTCTCTCATCAGGCGCAAAGATCCAAACATGAATTTGCCTTGCTTCCGATGTATGCTGTCAACAATGTGTGCCTTTCTGCTCTTTGTGCTATACAACATTCCACACAGCCATTGCAGCTCCAAATTAGAAACTGCTGATTTGAATGTCAATCACATTCCATTAGACTCTAAAATGACTCCCACAGTTCAACAAAAGAGTACTAGACAAGAAAGGACAAATACAGTGGATGGCAAGGTTTGTTTTCAGGATCCTAATCTTCATCCTGAACATTACCGTTACTACTTCAATAGACACCCTGATGAAGCAGAGGCCTGTAGATTAGATCCAACATGTCCTTATAAGGTAAGAGGAAAGATTATGGATAACATTTCAGGGACCGGTTACTTTTACTCTTACTTTGCCTTGTGTTGTTCCTTGCAGTTTTTCTGGGGGAAAAACATTGCTAAAGCATACGCTAGAAACCTGTTTTGTGAAATGTCAAAACTTTCTGAGTATTCTGAATGAAATAATGTTCTTTTTTACCCCTGTGTATGTTTATCACAGGTGTAACCAAAGCAAAATCTCCCTCCCCTTTCAAGAACTACAAATTATTTCTTGCACCTTATTTTTTCAACAGGAATATTTAGATACATCTGCTTGTTGGGGATATGAAGAAGGTTGCACCCGTGAATCGATGCCAGGCTACCCCAAGGTACACAAATTTCACAAGTCATGGTGAGGAAAACTTTCAATTTAGAAGTCAGATCCTGAGGCCTGTTTTTTTCATGGATCTTAATCTTGATAAGTGATTCTAACACTGGTTTGCACCATCCATTATGCCTGGTTTACATATCGGCATAAGAAATGTAGAGACGTAAATGCTGACATATGGAAATATATCGAACGGAGGTGTCACCAACAACGCAGAAAAACGCGAACGATCGGCAAAGTGGAGCCAAGTTCGACTTTGCCAACTGTCTACCAAGTAGCCATGGTATCCCTGTAAAAACACACATGCTGGCATGACCGGCATGTAATGATGTCCCTCTCACCTACATGTAGTTCAACGAGTTTGGAATTCAGTTGAGTCAAGTATTTAGCTAGAGTCAATTCACATTAAAAATATAAAAAGCAAAATATGATAAATACACATGAGAAAGAGAGTCATTTTTTGACATTTCACATTAACATCTGGGATACTACCAGTACAGAATATGTTGTAATGCCACATTTTCCTCCTGATGAAAATAAGAAAGGGGTGGTGGCTGATCACTATGGAACTACATGTACCATAGCGGCTCAATTTAACTTAAACCTGCACAAACCCCTGTATGCACATTTATAATGGTTTGACCTCAGAGATACCAGATCTGAATATTACTTGTCTACAACTCAAGCCCAATGTGATCTCTGGTACCATAGAAGGACAATAAACAATAATAATGATTTCTTATTTACATGTATGTTACACTATACGGTACATGTATGGATATTATATTCTTGAAATTATATGAATATTATAAACTGGCTCAGTAAGTCACGACAAGTATTTTTCTCACATAGAAAAAGAGTCTTACTAGTTTTCACCTGAGTTGGGTCAGGAGCGACTAGATTTGAGCCGTGTTAATAATTTACCCGTTGGGACTCAAGTCAAGTTGAGTCTCCAGACTTGTGACTCAAGTTGGACTCATCAAGGCATTGACTAGTCATTACAACTCTACATGGTGCTTATAGTGTTATCAGAACATGATTTATAAATGATAAAAAAGAACCTTTAGTTGGCATACATACGTGTACATGGGTAATTCCAGAAATTAGGGTCTAAAAGTGTGACTTTTGTGTCCCTGTTACATGTACATGTACATCTGATCTTTGTTATTTGACATAGAAATATCACTGGAATTGATTTCAAATTGTTATGATTTGTTTGGCAGATACATGTATATAATTTGCATTAATTCATCACTCTTAGAAATTAGAAAATGTGTTCTGAACTTACAAAATCATATCTCAGATGTGATAGGGACACAAAAAAGAATGGACCCCTAATTTCTGGAATTACCCACAAGCAAGTGTAAAGTACAGCTCTTGTGGGAAAGGGACAATTGTTAATATGGTTACAATTGTAATTCTACAAGTTTTTCAATTCAGTGAGAGCGATTTCTAGTAGCTCCTTTGTCAGTTTAACCTTGGTACTAAGGAAGCCCTTTTTCTTTCTTTTCTTTTGGGTGAATAGTTTATTTTCAAGGTTCATTGGTTTTTAGAATGGCTCAGTATAGCAGAAGCAGGGCCATTTTGTCAGTTGCTAACTCATGCTGATGTGGTAATGGGTGTAAAAACTTGTCACAGTACAAACCAAATAATAGACTACAACGTCCTTGAAGCTGTGTGCAACAATCAAAATGACTCTCCACAAGCTGAATGTATATTAGAACTCAAAAGGAAGTAAAAGAAATTAGATAAATTTGCAGTTTTAAACACAATTTTATGTTATCATCAGAACCATAAAAATGATATTTACAAATGGGTCATTCTATAAATTTGGATCTATAGGGGGACATTTTTCCACCCCTGTTACCTCTGACATGTACATGTACACCATCTGACATGTTTGATGAGGGATGTATCACTCATCTCTATCACTCTAACCTTGCCCGGAATGGCGATTTGTGTTTGACTATGTGCTTCTGTTACAGCGTCAGAGCCCAATAAGTAGGACATGCTACAGCCTTTTCACCGTGTAATTCAAAGCGCGCAGAGCATGCAGGGCCACAAACTGAGAATTTGCGGTTTGGCAGGTGGCTTTCATGGCAAGGCTAGAATTCTTGGAGTCGGCTTTCAGGAAGAAATTCCCGGCGTGAAGGGGTTAAACAGTGAGTTCTAAACATTAAAAATCATATACCAGACGTAACAGGGACGGGAAAAAAATTGAGCCCCAAATTTGTAGAATGACTCAAATGTAAACACAGTGACTAAATCAGTAATGGACGGTAAAATGTACCTAAGTCTGACACTTTACAGTAAGTGTTTCACATGTTAGTGCAAGATATCCACAAACTATTACTTCACCACGTTGTAACGTTGTAAATTCCACTTCATCAAAATTCTAACAGAGAATAGCTGACGCAAACTAGTCACTGTGACCTCTTAGGAAAATACACTCTGTTTCCTCACAAACTGAATGCCTTAACAGCTTGAGAAAAGGCTTGTGTCAATTCAGAGTTTTTTACAAAGCTGTTAAAAGTGGGGATTAACTTTTGAATAAGTATTACATGTACGTTGACCCTATTCATGTAAGTCACAGAATTTAGAGGTTTTGAGCTACATTTACGTGCCTATGGATACCATTATGTATACATGTACATGTACCCTTGATGTGTGCTTGTAAGCTTACATTACTTTTTGCACTACTTTTTCATGTGATGGTTTTTGTCTGTTTCCTGTGACATTACATTCAAAATTCTTTTCAACCATATAAACTGTGCTAAAAAGGGAAACATTACTGGTAAATGGAAAATTTACCACCTACTTAAATTGCTTTTAGACTGGTCATATAAAAGTACTTAGGACTTGCTGTTTCCATGTTGCATCATGGGTACTTTGAAGGCCAGGTGTTTAATGTTCAGTATTTCAGCTTTGTACATGTATGTGTACATTTATGTGGAATTTGCAAAAGGTACATGTACAAGTAACTTGGGTAACTGTTTCATTTGGGGGAGTTTTATATTGTTTGTCTTAATGGTTAGTGATTTACAATGCATGGTTTTCTCTTATCAGTTCAGTTTCCAGTTAGTACACTGTTGACTGAAAAAAAGTTGAAGGTATTAGTCACAAGTACTGTACATACATAAAGATGTAGCATTTTTCCAAATTTCTTTTCAGTTTGTGTAATCTCCTATTCTCCTAGATTACTTTTCAGTTTGTGTGATTTCTTACTTATGAAAATCTATTTGCCCCAATGTAAGCCCAAAGTAAGCAATAAAAAGGGAAAAACAACAATCCAAAAGAAGGATATTTACTTGCTACGGTGGTTTTCATGCATTGCACTCCAGTAGTTCTAAATATAGTGTTGAATCGGAAAAAAGGATCGTGGCAAATACAGTTTTTTAACTGGTATCACATTTGCCTTATTCTAACTTGGGTTAGAAATGTACATGTCCGTGAACAGCTTGTTTGTTCATACCATACGTCCATATGGTTTTAAGCTTGTTGAAGCACCTTACAACCACAGGCATTGATACTTGTACCTTTTGATATGTTCCCTAAAGGTTTCCTTCCAAAGAGGCCCAGATCAAACAGTTTTGGGATGACAATGATTTTGGCTACATCAAGAAAATAGTGGATGATGGATGGTATCCACTATGTACACCTAAAACGCAGGTAATGTCCATGTACACGCATGTACGCATACATTTATATTATATTCTCTCTGATTTGTTATTGCTGTCATTAATAAGCTTCACAATTGCAAGTGACTTGACAACTGTGCTATTTGCCATGTTAAAACTGAAATGCCTTCTTTTGTTGACTATTATTCATTCTTTGGGATATTCCCAAATTCTTAATAATGTTTTCTGTGTCAATTTTCCCTTATGCTTTTAATTAGCTCATGCAAATTTCACTTGACTACCATTTCAGAATGGATCATTGCTTTCCTGTGTTGACAATACCCGCTCCTGCTATGCTAAAAACCTGTTTCTGAGAGTACCAGACTTTGAAGACCATTCTAAATTGCGGGGCAGGTAAAGTATGAGATACATGCCTTTAGTTAAGTTCAGTTGAATGTAATGAGCCATAAGAACATAAATTCTGTTCCTAATTTGTTGAATTTTAATGAAGATTTCTGCATCATGCCAATGCCTACTTGTACATGTAAGAGAGTAAGTTTGCACATGGGTTTGACTTGAGAGAGAAATGTTGCTCCACTACATGTATCTGGTAGTGTTTATCTGTCCAGTATTTTGAATATTTTACACCTGAATGCATAGCAGTGCATGGAATTCATATCCTACAATTCATATCCTATAATTTAGTTCGTACTTCTTTTGAGAAAAATGAACACTGTCTTGTTTTGTTTAGGTTTGACACTGAACATTTTGGTTCACCAGGTCAAATTGGTGGCCACTGTAATCTGGACAAAGAGCTTCTGAAAAAACACTCCAACCACTTCTCAGAACTGCAGTCATGGTAAGTGAAGAAAGTTTAAGGAATACTTGGAAACAATTATACTACATGTACATATATGTACCTGTGCTATCTTAATAGGTTGAGACCTACATGTACAATCTATTGCAATAAATGAATGAACTTGAGGTTTCTCAAGGCACCTTGACTAAGTCAGAGATCATACAAAGATTAAATTTGCAACATCAATTCAATCTGTTGAAAGTTGTGGACATCCATCAGGCCTTTATTTTGCAGAACTTGGTCAAATTGAGCCAATTTGCCTCGACATGGAACAAGTTTTCCATACTATTTACAGTAGTATCCTTTCCTTTGCATTGTTAAACCAAGCTGTCATCTTTAGCATTGCATTGTGGAATACTTTCCCAAACAATTAGCATAGTGGACTGGTTTCTTGGACCAGGCCTGAGAAAGTGTAAAAAATTCAGGTGAGTGTCAAATCACTTACACTTGTATAAGTTAGGGTGGAGAAGCCAGAACATGCTATGAATGAGGAATAATAGTCTTAATATTGTATTCGAACTTGTGAAATGATCTCAGTAGTGAAATTGACAGTTGAATGTGTGTAATAAGAAAGTTTGAATAAATTTTGCTTGCTTATATTTTTATAGAGAGATTTTTTACATCTCTATACGTAGGTATGGCGAGTTGCGAGAGTTCACAGCATTGAAAGCTGATCCGTTTGTGACTTCCAGTTGTGATGTTGTCATAGAGGGGCGGGCATACTTAATGAAGATGGATGCCGGTAAGAAATGTTTAAATTGTTTTCAGATTTGCATTGTGAAATCAGTTTGAAGTGGAAACTGAAAAGACTGGTATATACATGTACCTTATGTGAATGTAGACGTAAAGGAATTTAATGTTCAAAACATAACACATAGTATAGTATATGATACAATGTTTGAAGTTCCCTACTTTTTGAAACATGGTCAACTTTTGATAGAGCGAAAATTTGCTGTGAAGATATTCTGGACCCCACTGGTTGAATGCTGTGAAGATAATCTGGTCCCCACTGGTTGAATGCTGTGAAGATATTCTGGTCCCCACTGGTTGAATGCTGTGAAGATATTCTGGTCCCCACCGGTTGAATGCTGTGAAGATATTCTGGTCCCCACTGGTTGAATGCTTTGAAGATATTCTGGTCCCCACTGGTTGAATGCTGTGAAGATATTCTGGTCCCCACTGGTTGAATGCTTTGAAGATATTCTGGTCCCCACTGGTTGAATGCTTTGAAGATATTCTGGTCCCCACTGGTTGAATACTGTGAAGATATTCTTGTCCCCGCTAGTTGAATGCTTTGAAGATATTTACTTTGCCCTTTTTATCAAACCAACCCAAAATAAATGATTCTGCACCTGACTTAATTTAAATCTGTGTTTGAGTTTGGTGACAAGCTGTGTGTGTCTTCATTTTTGTCTTGGCAGGAATTAACATGTTTCACCATTTCTGTGACTTTGTCAACCTATACATCACTCAGCATTTGATAAATGACTTTTCATCAAACATTACCATAGTGATGTGGGACATGGTAAGTCCAATATGAGTTTTAGCTTCCTTTGTGTAATGTTTGTACATAAAATTAGTTTGGTTTAGAGTGATGAAAATGACATTCAAGTTTTAAAGCTTTGAGTAACGAACAAGTCAGTGATAAAGTACATGATCCTGAACACAGTTGCTAGTGGAGATACTGTATACATGTATATGGAATCAAGAAAGAGTAATAAAAGATATTCATCAAGATTTGAACTTACATGTATAGTTTCCTGATTACTATAAACCAATGATCTACCAACTGAGTTGTTAAACTGTGCTAGTTATGGGCCCTGATGTATTACCATTTCATATTTTATTTTTCACTGATAGCCAGAAGCTATGAAACTATAGAGTGTAACCAGCGTCATGTAAGAAAGTGGCACCAGGAGATCAGGCAGACTGGATACAGCTTATTAATATCAGATTGTGTATACTCAAATCAATCGCAAGGAATTTTGACAAGGTTTCTCTTTTAATAAATCTTGTTGCCAACTTTCTTTCCTCACTTTCTGCAGAGTAACATGAGGTATGTAGATTTTTTTGAGGATACCTGGGCAGCTTTCTCTGATCGTCCTTTAGCCAGGCTGAATCACTGGAGTCGTAAGAAGGTAATGACCTTTCTTGTACCTCAGCCAGTATTGTAATTCAGTCCATGACATCAAAAAGGTATTCAGTTTTACAGGAAGGAGGAAATGCTATCAAGTAGGAACACAAATCCCAATCTACATACTGACTGAGGTGGGATTTGAACCTGGATTGAGAGGTGGAAGACCAGGAAAGAGCCATAATGCCAACCTGACTCCCCATAATCTCACAGAGTTACCAGCATGGTAATGCGTTTAATATTTTTCTTCCTTTAAAACTGCCTCAGAGTAGAGAGGAAGACACCACAATTACACTGGTTGTTTTATTGTTGCTTGTTAGGTGTGCTTCCGAGAAGTTGTCTTCACACTTCCTCCGAGGATGATCAGAGGGTTTTTCTACAACATGCCAGTTATCCCAGATACTCATGGTAGCAGGTTGATGCGTTCTTTCTCCCAACATATCCTCCATCGACTTGGGATTAAGCAGAAGGGTCCATTGGTAAGTCATTAGTTTTTATTCAGCAGGGTGTTAGTTGTTTGAGTCATTTCAAATTCCTTAATTTTGTTCAAGTGAAGTTATTCAATAGTCACATTTGTTTCATTTGTATTGATTATAACTTTTAATCAGAATCAATGTCATTTCCATTTTGTAATTCCAAGGTCCTCTTTTTTGCCAGGTTGTGTATATACCATATTATCTTTTTTAAAAACCTTTCAAAAGATCTCTTTTCAGAACTTGAACCTGTATTCTGCTATTCATTCCAGAAAACTGGAAAAGTGCGAGTCACCATTTTAGACAGGAAATCTGTCCACAGGAATATTGTCAACCAGGAGGAGGTAGTTATTAAATACTTTAGAATTTCAATAGGTCTTGATTTATTTTGAGGTTTATCAATTATAGTCCATTGCTATCCTGTAGAGCCCATCCCGGCTTAGTTTAGCAGCCTAACCCAAATGGCTGCTAAATGGTAGCTTTAATAGGCTACCTAAATGGAAACAAGACAATCACTAAATCTACTGACCTCAGTCATCCCACCCTAATATGAATTGACCAATTAAGTATTTTACACCCCATTCCAATCTAAAGTAAATACAACCAAATCCAATTTAGTTCTGCTCCCACTGCCTATTTTTGTATGTGATATCTTAAAAATCCAACATTGTTTAATGTAACCAACTCGGTCAATGGCAAACACCACTCAATGAGACTACATCCTTTATCTTTTAAGGCGTCACCTTTGATAATCATAGAAAGTGGTATGTATTTTTCATCCTGACTATTGAAGCAGTGCATGATGTGTTAGATATTTTCTATCTCAACATATTGTACATGTCACATGTCTAATTCATTGCCCATTTCAAACCAACAGACCACTTTTTGTGATCACAAAGCCTAGGCAAAATGGAAAGATCCTACGTGTTTAAGTATTTTTTAGTCCTTTGTTTTCTTGACTGTACTTTAGGTATATATTAACTACTTAGTGCATGTGAGGAATGGCTGTACATTTAAGGGACTTGTGAATTGGAACATAGTGAATGCTTTTTACCTGAAGACAAGTGACCTATGAACATAAGACAAGTCAGGCCAGAGGTTTATGGGGCTGTTAGGTAAACAGTACTTCTGGCAAATTCACAACACAAGAAAAGTCAATCAAGAACTTTACAAAGTAATGTACATATCTAAAGCAAGTCTGTACTGTACATTCTTAGCAGCTTCATAAAAATTGGTTCAAGGAGTCCAGAAACATTTTCTAGTCTACATCAGCTCAACCAGTGTTTTTTTGTTTGTAACCTATCCTACACCATCATGTCAACTTACCATTTTTGTAAATAGTGTTAATTCATGTACATGTGACAGACTTAGAACTGGTTTGAGGAATACATTTACTAAATGCATTCTGTACATTGACAGTGTTGAGTGAAGATAGTTTTCCACATGCTTTGTATGTGTTTGTGGGATACACATGTACATATGCATGTACACGTAATTGTCTTCTTTAGGTTCATGTACGCATTGGTCACAGTCTAGTTAGACATCATTTCATCCATGTTGCTGGCATGTAGCTTAATTAACTTTTATGGAATTACATGTAGGAATCCTTCAAGATCCATTAGTAACTTGCAATAAACTCATAACACATAGTGTGGAAAGTACCTGTGGTATTGGCATAAAGGACATTGTTTCTCCGGAATGAAGTACCTGTGTTCATACAAAGATTGCAAAAGATACATTATCAGATGGGATAGCAGGTTTATTTCATGTACCGTTCACAACAAAATTAGCAAGAATTGAGAAGTCTTCCTGCTGTGACAGTCTTTTTGAAAATCCAGTAAATTGTAACAGTTGCCTCTTTGATAGTCTAAACATTTGATAGTTCAAACATATAACCTCACATGTGTAGAATCAATGTCCATGTTATGTCATTCTCCTTGAAATGTATGTGTTGTTTCATCTTGTATTGTTCCCTTTTGTAGCTTGTGGAAGCTTTGAGAGAGGATCCTAGTTATGAAGTGCAACTTGTGGTGTACAAGTGAGTTTTTGTCTGATTAGAGAGATTGGAAGTATCTATTAGATCCGCCCAATTGGCAATAGTTGTGTATTTTTTTTAGACCTTGTCTTGGTCTTGAGACCGTCTTTGGACCTGTTTTGGCTGGTTTCAGTGTCAATCTCATGCTAGAGTCTTCATCCAGTAGTATGTCCATATTTTGCCTGCATTTTCTAGGAATGTAAACCAGCTACCCCCTGAATTTTTCAAACACACAGATACTAAAATGATCTTAGGCCTTTCCCAGCATATGTCAGTTCCTGAATACTATCACTGGTATTGAAATGAGTGTATTATGTCCACAGAATACGCAAATAGTGTTGAAAGATAATTCTTGCACTTTTAAAAGACTTTCATTTTATGGTTCATTCTCGTAATGTTTCATATTTGCTGTTGTTCTATGAAGCGGTGTGCATGGTTTGGATGTGTCTGTTTAACTAGCAATGATATACATGTAGTTTGTTAGGATAGATTATTGTTAAGAATATTCAAATTCTGCAGAGTGAAACAAGTTGCACCAAGAGGTGGTACTTATTTCTTATTGTGTTGTACGGTGGACTCCTTGTAACCGACTGAAATGTTGATATCTTTGATGCAGTCTTTTGTATTATTTTCTTCTTTCAGCCATACTTTGACATTTGTCCAGCAACTTGAGGTAGGTCTAATCATTGAGAGTCTGCTTGTCTTATTTTTTTAGCTGTTTTTTGTGTTGGGGAAGGCTACTTTATTTTTCATCCAAATTTGATTAGAATTTTACACTTACATTCCATTGTTGTTTTTATGTTTAGATCACCCACAATAGTGATATCTTCATTGGAATGCATGGTGCAGGACTGACCCACTTGCTCTTCTTACCAGATTGGGCCACCATCTTTGAGGTGTAAGTAAAAAAAGTCACAAAATATGTCCAAACATATTTGCATCGTTAAACACCACTTTAAAATTCAATAAAACTCAGAGACTGGCCAGTAAGGTACCGGTAGATCATCCTTTTTGCACACCTGGGCTTACCCCCAAAACCAGTGTAGTAGGATGGGATACACGGAGAAGGGGTTTGCAGAAGGATGGGTCTCCGTTTTTGACTGTCCAGTTCTCCAACTTGGATCAACCTCTAGATTTCCTTGTTTGAGGGGCTGACCTTTTCAGATTGAAGCTAACAAGGTTAGATTTTCCAGTTGTTACAATTTGAAGCTTTCCCTGGTCCGCCCTTGCAGGTGCAACTGTGAGGATAAACACTGCTATGAAGACCTTGCCAATCTCAGAGGGGTGCACTATGTGACATGGGTTAACTACAGCCGTCTCAAGAAACACAATGAGGTAAGACCGTCAAATTTTACTTATCCTGCACAGTAAATGAGTACCAGAAATCCAGACAGCCATGCGGTTGTCGCTTAAAGAGGTGGGTCATTTGGAGTGAGCAATATGTGATCAGTACAGATTTTCTACAAGGTTTGTGCAAGGAGTGGTTAACTTCATAGTTCATGAATTTAATATATTTCACTGTAGTTGCTCTCTTTTTATTCTATGTGATTGTGACATGTTAGATGGAATTATCCATCTTCACTTCTTATTTCTCCAGGATCAATTATTGCTTTTTTGTTGCAGGATTGAGCATTCATCCCATGCCCTGTGTATTCTTTGATTCAAAGTTTATGAAAACCTGACCTGGAGTTCTTGCGTAGTTGCAAACTTTACAGTAACCGTAACACCCTTTTTCATCTTGGACTGAAACTTTGCACATGTGCGTCTACTATGTAATTATCAACAAGTAATCTTAGACTTGGTTTTCGTTTACAGGTGCTTCATCCATCCCTCAAGACTTATCATCCAAAGTTCTGTGATTACTCATTTGAAAAGGCTGAGTTTGTTCGTCTTGTCAAAAAGGCTCATCTCTATGTCAGGAATCATGAAAAATTCAAGTTTGAAGAAGCTTTACATGATGAACTTTGAATAGTTTTATACTATAAAGAACCATGTGACTCAATGCACTTTTATTTTTCGAAGTGTACGACTTGATACTTTTCCAGTTAAGTGCATCTAGCTTCAATTTCAGGAAGGGTTATCAAGTGAATTCCTTTGCCATGCTGGGAACTACAGTATCAGAAATACTTTATGGTCATAATTTTTTTATTGCATTGCAGCCAAAAGTCATTTTTGGAAAGGTTGTTTGTTACGACGTTGAAATGTATATAGATAAACCATTCATACTTCAAAGTTACTTAAAATTGTGGTTAATTTGTCCACAGAAGCTAAAGCCTTGCAGTGACAAACAGAAGCCTGTTTACCAAACCAAAAGACAGTTTGTGTTTCATTTGTTACTTCACATTTCTTATGACATTGTAAAGTATCTTGTGGAAAGGGAATACTGAGTAGGGCTTTTTTACTCCAGTATTGCTATCCTATTTGATATTGTCTTATGGTGCTGGGCTGAACTGTCGGTACATTGGTTATATTTATTTTAATACTTTGAACAGTGCACATAAATCTGAAATACCTATCTTGTTTTATTTTATTTGGTCATGTGTGCAGACTTTCAAAGTTACAAACACGTGATTAAAAATTGATTCACTTTGTATTCAGTTGAAAAATATTTTTTGTATTTTGCAGCCAGATATGCCTAGCCATGCTCAGCTTGGCTAGAAATTCACATTTGAGAACCAATAATGCTTGAACTAGTACTTGGCATATGTACTCCTAAGTGCAGCCATTACTCTAGTTGACCTGCAGGCAAACATCATAAAACCTCTTGATCTGGGCCACTTCCTGAACAATTTGGATATGGTTAACCTTTGGTCATGAGCAGTAGTACATGATTGGGAATAATTGTAGAAGCTCAAAGTAACAATTTCTCAAAATGTCCAATCAGTGGTCAGAGTTCACCATCTGGAAGTCAAAACCACTTTGTTTCTTTTGCAATATGTTTACAAATTGTTTTCTGTTGTGAACTTGCTCAAAGTTGACCTTTGCCACCTGCATGATAAGATTATTCCTCCATAGCATCCCATTATTGCAGTGCCATTCACAATGCAAAAAATAGTGGCAGCACTTTTACCGGTGGTATTAATTTGCATGTACTTTAAGTACAGATTTCTCATGATGCTCTTCCTGTTCACAACTGGTTATGGAAAGAAGTATTGAATGATTATTCGACAGAACCTTGAAGGAGCACTTGGATCCATAGTGAGAGCAGATTAACTTTACTTTCTAGATCAGAGATGCCTTTCATTTGAAGTGTGTTGAATAGATTCAGAAAGTTAAGAGCTCTAATGTCCAGCGCATCTTTTTTTCAGAGAAAATGTGTCACAGATAGTAGATACATTTTCTGAGATGGGAATGTACCGTATTACCAGTTTTCCATGCCATTTTCACCATTAATGTTTTCAACAGCAAAATGTGTATTCCTCAGTTTATATCCAATTACAGTGTGCTATGACAATCAGGTGACAAATGTATGACACGTGTGTGGGTACTTTTAGTCATTTTCAGACTGCAGGTGGTCAGGAGAGACTGACATTCCATTTCTAAGAGGCTTGTTCGATCTTGTTTAGGGGATAGTTGATATAGTTAAGAGAGACTTGCTTACTTGAAAGTTTTCCGTTCTTTTGTTGCAATCATAGGCTGCAATTCGTATTGGTATGTTTTATAATTAGAGTGAACTGTGTCTGAATCGGCTTGATCATTTTATAGTATTTACAGTACCCAACATAATCTTATCTGGTAAAGAAGGTTTGCACCCATGTTGATCAGCAGTTACAATGTATATCACACCTGACTTTAACAAAGAGCAGATTTTCAAGCCAATCAGGCTTGCCATTAGTATTTGTTTTATTGCAGATTTTTTGGGGTGGAAAGATGTGTCTCTGATACATAACCTATCTAGCAAAGCAGCAATCATGTTGGATTCTGAACTGAAGCTTGTACATATGCATCACATTTATGAAGTATTACTCAGGATGCATTTTTATATATTGTACTTGAGGCAGGGTATAGCATGTCAGTTTCATTGTTAAAATGTGTTACCATTGAATACATAAATGCCAGACACATTAGTGATCTGGTTGAAGAAACTAGGCAAGAAGAAAAATTCCTTAAATGGATGTATTAGCGCTTGTCATGCAGATCTGAAATCTAGGAAATGAAGCCCGGATATTTGTTGGTTAAGTTTTCAAGATACCAGTAAATAGGATGATGTAGGTTTGAAGCCTGCTCAAACGACCTTTGGATTTTTCCCAAGGTCTTTAGAAACAATTGAAAATGCAGTACTCTCATTTTTGAATAGGATAAACCTGTTCGGGTTTTTAAAAATATTTATTTTATCAATAACAATGTTTTATTTTGCAAATGTATTTTCTCCGTTTTCTATGAAGGTTTATATCCATATTAAGTTTTTCCAGTTGTTAAAAGAGTTGGAAATTATTTACTTGGACTGGAGTTGAATTAATACATAGAATACAGGTTCCACTTTGTAGACAACCATGCAAGATGTTGTAAATATCTGTCTCATTGAATTTGGCTGAAGAATCTTTACCTCCCAGGTCGGTTTACTTCAAGGGAAATAATAAGTAGATACACTTGTTAATTGTTTATTTTTTGATGTATGCATGAAGAAATTTTCCCTTTGTACTGGTTGAGTAAAAAGTGGTTGAGGTATTATGGTGACTTGACATTAAAACTGACTGATTTTACGTTTGTGTTTATCTGTGTTGCTGTTTTTGTTTTAATTCCAATTTACAAATACTCCCATCAACTTTTCACAACACAATCCTAAATATGGCAGGCTCCGTGTTAGTGTTTATAAAGCATAGTTTTAAAACACCAAAATATTTGACTCATTAATGAATCAATACTTGAATGTGCAGAAGACGGTATGTAGACCACAGTTCTCTGGATGGAAACGACCCAAGATCCCCTGACGGAAGTGTGTCAATGTCAAAAGCATTTGTTTAGTTAGGCCGGCCTATGGGGCCGGCCCAGAGTGAATAGACAGTGTGGTTTTCTCTTGATCTAGTTCACAATAAGAGGAGTTCCTGAGGCTGAAACCTTTGATACTCGCCTGACAGGTGAAAAAGGTCAGGAGCAAAATCCTGTTGTACCAACGTTCAAAGTCGCTTCATGTTACGGCTGTTGGCATTTCTGTTGTCAACGGAAAATGAGGAAATATGGTTTGGAACTTTGGGAGTCGGTTGATTTCAGGAACAAATTTGAGCCAATGCGGCTATTCACATTACAAAAAAACATGAGATAGCTGACATGTGGTTTAGTGAAGGATAATTTTGATGCAATTAATTTAGATTGTAAAAATGTTGTGGGTCCTGCGGACAATTTTTTTGTCCGCAAGACTGTTGTCTTTGAAGAGGACCAAACATCTTTTCTAAAAGGAGTTAAGAAAATTTGCATCGACAGGCACAGGTCTAGAGGAAGGTGGGGGAGGATCAAACCCCTAATCACATCAGGAAAAATGAAATAAAAATTATACTAAAAAGGTGATGTCCCATAATGGTTAGTATTTGTACACAAGTAACAATGTAATGCATTATTTCAGGGACACATATCCCCTTCGGAGGGGCCTTCCCCCGGGCCTTCCCCCTGCAGAAAATGTCCTGGACCTGCCCTGATCGATGTATTTTTGCATGTTTTTCTGCAGATATTAATGTTTCCGAATCGTTAGGTATCAGTACCAAACGGATGAAAAACTGTGAAAGTGTTGGATTGTTGACATACGTTCGTTTCTGACAATTTATGACAAGATGAGTATTCTCATATATTTTGATGGGTTTGGTTAGTCATAATTGCAGAAAGTACATGTACCAAGAGCTTGTGTATTCAATGATGCTTTCAGGTATACTGTATATTCGTTTATGTGCACTTGTTATGTCTTGACCTTTCTGGCTTGAGAGGAAATTGGCATTGGAGGTTCTTATATACAATTGGAACGCAAAAAAATAGACGGCCAGCGGACACACACAACAGGCAGATGTGCTTGTCTCAAAAGTAATGGTATATGGTACATGCACTTGTTTCTATATCACTGTTTTGCAAAACTCGGTCACTAAACATTTGTGACCTTCCCAAATAAAGCTCGCTCATTTAATGACATGCCTGTGCTGAATCAACAGCAGACACTAAAACGAAGCCCCCCCCCCAAGGAAAACGGACAACAGTAAGTAAAAGATCGAGTATCTTTAATTACTGAAGCAACAGTAAATTTCTGGCTACACTGATGGAATCACTATCTTACACAGAAAAAAGTGGATTAAAAGAATCCAACCATAAGCCGTTAAAATTAATTTTAAATATAACATCTTTAAAATAAACATTTAAACAGATTTTGTTTCTGCATTTGAAATATGGTCTTCAGTGGGTTTTGTTTGCGTGATGTGATTATTCCAAGGAAGTTGGCATAACATCCGACTCTGTAACAAGACCCATGTAAGCTGATGAAATCAGGAAAACCATGGACTTTATGACTGTGATGATAAACTCTCACAGAAACATCCTGTAATTGTACTCGCTGTTACATTAATGTTTGTCAGTTTTCTGCCTCTACAGTTGCAGCTCAAACAACAAATGTCTGAGAGTTGAATGCCCTAACAGCAAGGAGTCACCAGCATTGTCATTCTGTAATGGAGGCCAATGCCCGCTTAAAAGGGGTTATTTTGGCACCAAAACTTTCACATAATTGATTCTTTAACCATGCTAGAGTAACTTAGTCTTAAATTTCTAATATAATTTTCTGTTTATGACTTAACTGAAATCAATTTACATTCGGCCGGCCATTTGTAGAATTGCCATCCGGAATTCATATATTATATGTAAGACAAACTAAAAATATCAAACGTAAATGAAAATAACACATATATTTTGCATATCTACATGTACATCAAAAATCAAAACTGGGGCTTTGAAAACTGAACCATAAGTACAGAAAGCATACAGTTTCATTTACCTGATGTTAAAGGTTTTGTAAACTTTTATTTTCAGGTCTGAGCGCCCTGCCTTAGCCAGACAATGACCAAGCTCCTTGGCTTGGGACTTAAGATCTCCATCCTGTTTGTTGTGCCAGTCCACTAACATATTATAAATCTGACTTTTTGCATCTCTGTTGTGATTGTAAGCGTAAGTACTTAGTGTGGCATGGCTGAATCCTAGCTGAAGACCTAAAGACATCATTTCCCTTGGTGAGATGTCCCCAGAGAGGGAATGAAGAAACTTATTACTAATGCACTCTGAAAAGAATCAGATGAAACAAAAAATAAAGAGGTCATGACTTTCCTCAGGATTATAGGATAATTTTATTCAAGTTGATGATTCTTGTGGTTCCTGATTATTTTCTGAGATGTCATACTTCAGTGTTAGAACTTTATTCTGACAAAAACATATTTCGTTAATTAGCAAAACTTACCCATATTTTTGCCTGGCCACCAATTACGTGTTAATTTTTTCTGACACAAGGAGGCAGTGTGTTCTTTTTAAAGTTGCCACAATGTCAGGACTAAACTGACAGTGCCTATTGCCACCAGTGATCACAAGAAGACAGCTCCTGATTTTTGGTTTATCTTTTTTACTTTTTCATGGATATAATCAGTTTTCCACTTTTATGTATAGACATTATCTAGATTCCAAATACAGACTGAATTATCAATATTCTCCCTTTTAGTAACTGAGGTTCTATGCAAATGATTCATTTGATTCCAGGTGACTTTATTTCTGCTATTTTATTGATGTTTCCAATTATATTCTTAGGATAACACTAAAATGTTTTGGTGACTTGATCACACAGTCTACACTCACCAGGCTTCTCAACTCTTTCTTGTCTCTCACAGGCCCCACTTGACACAGGTGGACTTGAAGAGATATATTCTAAACCAAATAAAGAAATGTACTTTTATGACCTTTTGGGCCAATTATTAAGACCTTTTAGGCCAACATAACAAGATTTACTGTCTTATTCTGCAACAGAAAAAAGGCTATTAAATATTATATATTGAGAACACTCCTGAGCAATGTTTTCAAGAGTCATTCACACTGCCATGTTCTCACCTGGGTGGGGTTCCTCAGCAATTTGTCTTCCAGAAGGCCCAGTTACTTCAGATGGACTTGTTGGGACATTTCCTGTTTCAAGTGTAAGAACAAAAATATGCATAGGCCTACATACAGGAGCAGAGAAGTAGTCAGTGTCAAGTAGATTAAAAAAGTAAAACAAAACAAAATATTAACCACAACATATCTTTAATGTACTAAGATATAAAGGTAAAAGTTGGTAATAAAAACAAACACTTCAGATGGTTATTGTTGGACCTGAAGGCAAAATGAAAGTTGCTGTAGCTTACTATGTCTCAGATTCCAGGCATCTTGTCTTCCAGCTGAAGGCCTTGGTAACTTAGGACTTAAACAAACTTCTCCTTAATAAAAAAAAACAAATACAGAACCATTGTTTAAAGGTATTTTTCACACCAACCTTTCTTAGTTTATATATAAAAGTCTTTACTCAAACGCAACTTTGATGAAATGGAATTAATCAAGGCTCAGGGTACACAATTATCGAATTAAAGGATTGCACTTCACATTTTTTTCAATGGTTCCTTGCCACATCAAAAGAACTATTACAGGGTACCCGCTGCAAGGGTCTATCATGGTATATGAATTTTTCCAGGCACTAAATACAAGCTGTGAGGTATCTGGCTTGGAACCCCGATTTGGTAACATGGCCACAACTATTCTAAGGGGCAAAACGTCAAGGTAATAATTAGTCAAACAATCAAACTTACCAGGCAGGTATTCCTTGTCTTCTTCTACAGAACTTGTAGTTGGCTGCAGTGGACTTGAGCTGGTTTCTACTTCAAATATTAAACATGCATGTCTAATAAGCAAGTTATTAAGCACACAACTACCACTCAGCAACTATAATTATCAAGATCAATGCTGATTTGTTTATGTGATAATGATGCATTAGACAGCTAATACATAAATATCAGGTCTAGTAAGGAAGACTGTCCACTTGCTGTAACACGGTTGAGGTGGGAACACATTGAGCAACTGGGGATGACCTTTCATGGCTTCAAGTGGTTCTACCCTACTCATAACCAATCACATTCAGTGTTGGATTTTTATGCCCAGTGGCAGGGGAATTCTTACCTCTTCTGAAATATTTCCAGACCCTTATCGCGATCAATGTACCTGTTGTAAAAATGGGTGAAATAAACAAATGGTTTTTCTTTGTTTAGTAGTAATACATGCATGTACACACATGCTAATAATTATCTGCAAAATTGAATTTGTGATTTGAAATGACAAGCCATTTCTGTGAATTATCTGAGGTTTAAGGCAATTATTATTCAACTTTCTTCATTAATGTGCACAGCTTTAAGTTCAATTCTTAAAAGCTTCTTGCCTAAATTTTAAAACAAACATGTACTTTAGTGTTTTTACACTAATATTTTCACAAAATAATAAATTGATACTATATTAAACTTATTGCAACTACAGTATACAATACAACAGTTGCACTGCACTTACAAAAAGCCAAAATAAATCCGAACACGTAGCGACTGTTGTGTACTGTCTCTTCCAATAGGAGCAGTGTTGGCCAGTTTTTTCCAAATGTCATTACTGCTGTATTGCTCTCTGTCAGGACTGCAAAAAAGGTATACTTTACAAAGGATTACATCAAAACTATTAGAATTACAACAATGAACTTAAACCAGTTGTCATTTTGGTCCAGCATTCGTATTGCGTCACTGAAATTGATATGATAGCCATATCTTCCCTGACATCATTTGCCTGAGTGATCCCTGTTCACCACTTCTTAAGTTGTATTGTGTACATGTACATGTAATTGGGGTGTGATCCCTGGCTGTATGGTGTTTCAGGTTTAATGGCTTCTGGCTAGTGCCCCTCGATCAGAGATATTGACTGCATCCAGAGCTTGCCCCATATCATTTGTGCTAGAATGTACAGACCTTGTATAATCTCAAGTGTCTGCAATTTATTCCAAACCACAACAGGGTATTTATGTATTGTTTGTCTCTACTGAATTGTCATTCTTCAAAAATTGACCTTGCTTCTGATTACAGATGGTCAACTGTGGATGAGATAAAGTAACTTACGGTTTCTTTCAAGGTACACTTGACATTATTGACTCTACACGAGAAAATGAAATGTAAAAATAAAGAATCGAAAGCATAGCTTACATATTGGACCAGTAAGAAGGCTCATTGTGGTAATGGTGATCATAATCTGCTGAGGAACTTCCACTGTTTAGATTAAGCTGTTCTATTCATAACCATGATTTCTTTAAAACATAAAACAGAGAACGCAAAACTGTCTGTCAGCAGTAAATTTTGGAAAGTGGAATTGTTAAAATTTCATTGTTTGTATCAGGTTTCAGATCTGCCTGTCATACTTATGCAGCACTGTGCTAAGTAACTCAGCCTGACAATAAACTGACAAACTGGTAGTGGGGGATGGGAGGGGGTCCCTGGGTACTTGCAGCAAATTAATGACTTTTTTTTGGGGGGGGGAGATCCCCCTTAATCACTCCCATAAATCTAATACTACAATGGAAAATAATAACACAGTGGTCATACACCACATTTAACATGCATTTATAACAATATAGGTGAAGGTCCCAAAATAGTTCTGCGCAACCAATTACATGCCTTTGAAAAACAGGATTGGTAGATCGGAATTTTTGCAAATTTCTTTGTGTTGATTGATCAATGAATGGTGTATTCAATTAATAGGAGTGGTAGCACAATACATAACAAAAACTGTAACTTGCTAATAAAAAGTTTAGGGTCCCACTGCAATTAAACTAGGGCTGATCATGTTGATGGGTCACCATGAAGCAGAAATTTGTTTTCTCTACAATGCTACATTAATATGTTAAGGAAAGATTTCTATGTCTATGCATGTACATCAATGACTTTTCTCTGATGGAGGTAGTAAATCAATTGTAAATTAGCAATTGATAAAATGTCCTGAGCTGAGTCCAATGAAATTTGCAGGGAAAATATTGAAACATTTACTTTAAAAAGTGGAAAGAATTCCATATACGGATACCAGTAATTACATGTATTCCCACAGTGCCCTAGTAATAGCCATAAGAAAGCAAAAATATGTCTAGAAAAGTTCAATTTAGGAAGAACTTGAAAAACTAGGCTCTAAACCTAAGTCAATAACTTAAGAATACTCGGAATTTTCCCGATGAGACCGTAGGGTTTGTGCACAGGGTGTCAAGCGCTAGCGGCGTCCGTATGTGGAACTCTTTCCAAAAACGTTGGGAATTTTTCCAGAAGTGTCTCATCGTGGAGGGTCTCATACCGTGTTTGATGTTTATGGACCTCATTTCTGCACAGTCTTTTATCACTATCATTAATGCCAAGCTTGATATGCTTCAGTCATGTGGTCACGGTATATGTGACTTGTAGCATAACGATCTCTTTTTGATATCATTATTAGGGCCTATACCGTGCATAAAATTAGCATGTTTAGGCTGTTCAGTCTTTCATTAATTCAGTCTTGGAGATGGAAAGTTTGCAAAAGCTACAACACATGTATAATTTGTCGCAAAACCTACCTTCAATAATGATTCAAATCTAGCATTATTTTTTTCGCACGGAGTACGCAGTGCTCGCTGTTAGATCCAATTTCCGGGTTGAGCCGCTGTTGTTTGTTATGGTGCCCTTGACGGGACATTAAATACTACAAAGTTCTTTATATAACATAAATGCACATTTTGAAACGTTTCAAATTATTGTTTGCGTAAAGTTGTCTCGATAACCTTGCTAAAAAGGGGTTTACATTGTCTGCTCAGTCTTTGTCTGACAACTTGGGAAAAATATCTACAAGCTTACTCAGGCAAGACTTGAACCCAAGACCTTCCGTTTACAATTGCAGACGTCTTCACTTGCCTCCCTGCGGAACAATATTCCGCATTTTTCTAGCCAAATGTTATAGCATAGCGTGTTCCTGGTCGTTATGCCACCCGTGGAACATCTTCAATTTAACTTGTTCAAGACGTACAGAATCCCTTAATACAAACCTTCAAAATAAACCTTTGTGTTTCAGTTAACCATATTTTGAACTTTCGTTTCACTAATTTGCTGCTGATATATTTTTTGTTTTTATGCTAATGAGGATTTCCATATTCATAAACAAAATTGTCATGCCATGCCAAGAAAAAAGCCTAAATGTTACAATGGTTTGCAGACTTTGCTGGACTAAATTTTGTCTTCTATTTTTATTTGTTTTATTAATCTAATTATTATTATTACTGGTTTATTTTGAACTATACTCCTCGCCGCCGGTGGCAGATTGTTAATACAATCTACATGTACATTAAAAACAGATAAATATAGATTTATAGCTATAAATTCTAAGAAAGCTGAAGGTCTTTAATACCTTCAATACCTTGCATTAAAAAACATATTAATTTCATTCAATACATACAAAAAGCGTAAAATTTAAAAACAAAAAATACAAATTATCGGAAAACAAAGTCGTTTCCAAAACGTTATACATGTAATTAAATGAAAATAAGGGGGAGAAGGGGACATAAATATTGGATATGTTTAGGAAGGGTTCAAAGGGAGGGGGAGGGAGGGGGTCAGGGTGAGGGGTTTCGGGGGAGGAGGTCACAGGTAGGGGAGGAGTTGATATACAAACTAGCAGGAAGCTAGACTTAAAAATATTAACCAATGGAAGTAAAAGAAGATCTACTATATACTGTTAGGAGCAAGCTGGACACGGAGCTGTGCTGAGTTTAGTTAGACAAACTGGCAACTTTATCAATCCTACAAGAGGGCTGTTCTGATACCTTCTTGTGCGACAGGAGGGCACTGTTATCATAACAGTTGTATAATTTCTTAACTTACGAACATGTGTCTGATGACCCTAACTCTCTGACTCGAGTCAGAGGAATCCAAGTACTAAAATGTTCTGAGATTAGCAGAGATTGGCCAAACTTAATACACAACTGATTTTGCCTCTGACTGAGAGTAGGTAAGCCACAAGAAACAAGTGCATCATCATAACGATTGTATTCAATGCTAAGGATGATTTGACAGACCATCTTCTGGAAATTCTCCAGAACTTTTAACATGTTTCAGAGTGAGGCTAAAATTCCATACTGGTGTGGCATATTCTAACACTACTGGTTCACAGTTGTTAATGTGCATAGCCACAAGTGAGGACCTTATGCTTTTCTCAGAAATGTTTTAATGAAGTTAATTTTGGGTTCACAATCAAATTCTATGCAATGAGCCATGTCTTCCCTGAACTACATCACAACAATAGCACCCTGAGCTCCAAGGAACTTAATTATGGATAATTTTAAGTGTTTAAAAAAGTGCACTTTTCAGTACATTTAACCAAGTGTTTATACATTCAAGAGTACAGAGTTGCAGAAAGTTCATTGCGGCTACCCTACCCAGCTACCGAGTTTGCCAGTGTAGGTTGGCCATCGATGACGTTTAATTAGTAACTGCATGGAAAATCAGATGGTCATAACCGGAAGGTTGCCGTCTTCAAGCCTCGTGTAATAGCTGGCGAAGTTGCTATTCGCTTGCATATAAAACCCCATATGATGGATGGACGCCAACCGTGCTAAAACACAGCAGGACGTGCTCTTCTTTGGATCATGGTGTACTGCAGAATTACGAGCCCTACGGTTCATTCTCAATAGACATCGGAAACAGACCTGAAAGTCAGAGCAGGGAGGTGTGGCACTGGGTTCGCAATGAACATGAAATCAAATGTGGCCAAAGTGTTCAACAGGGCATTTTCATAGATTTCAAGGAATCGAATGACTTCATGTCTCAAGGAAACACGAAGAGCAAGATAATACTGCGTGGGAAAGTCTTAGAATTAGACACCGGTAATTCTGATGTTATTGGGGATTAGCCTATGATGGCAAAACGTACAATGCTTACACGTTAGCACAGATGAAAACGGAGACCTTCTCCTCCGATTCTCAAGACCGGGTTATAATTAGCTTATAGATCACCCAGAAAACAACTGCACCTACTGAACCACCGTCTCGAAGCACTAAGTCAAAATGAATTTGGAGAATGAACGCCAGATAGCATACAACGTGATTAATGCTATTTTTCCATTGAACAATGGAACCGGTGATGATCCCAAATCGGGGAAAACGAGACAGGAACTGTAAGAATCTGCTCGTTGTTTGGTGTTTGACAAGGTGCGTGTTTCGTGTCGTAATCACTTGTTTTTGATCAAAGCAAGATAAATTAAGAATCAGCGAAAATTTCTCGACTATTAAGAATTCTGGTTTGCATGTACTTGTTAGCTGATTCTAGCGACAGTTTGCAGAAAGTCAAAAGTTTGAATCACTAGAAAACGTGACGACGCGTTTGGAACATACAGTTATTATGTGCCCTAGTCCTGCAGTATACTGATAAATGAACAACCAACAATCTAAAGTTATCGATACCTTTCAAACGTCACTAAGGTGTTTAGTCAGCAATTTGCAAGTCTATTTTGGCAAACAACTCAGACATAAAAGAGGTAAATTCTCACAGTTGTATTTTTAAATTGTACTTACAACTAACTGATTTCAAATGCAGTACAGCTTTATTCTCACTGATAACGTTTTGTAGTTTTATTTTTTGGTAATATTTCTGAATGTAGGATTTTAGATGGTTGCTTTTTTGGAGTTTTATTTATTTAATGTTTCAAGCGCACGATATTTTCTTTAAACTGACGAAAATTCAAAGCACCAAGCCCATTAAGAACCAAGATTTACTGCACAAGTTCACTGTATGTCAAATATTTAAAAGTTGTTTTCATTTGAGACAGCTTTTTGAAAATTATTTCGTTTTCTTTCATTTGAAGGTGTCGGAAAGTGTTTTGTTCAACTGCATTTCCATATCAACAATCGGTATTTCTTCTTTAAATTTACACCAGGCGTTGTATTGTTTTTTCTTTGATTTCGTATTGATGTTTCATCCAGTTATTTATCACTATTCCAGGGAGAACAATGTAGAGAAAAAGTTTGAATTACGAATTGCCCAGTTGGTTTTGATCATCACTTTTACCCACGTATTTACAAGTGAGACGCTGCCCAATCCCTGCACTGATTAGCATTATGTATGATTGTGATGCTGATGTAAAAAGTTGATTAGGCCTAACCTGTAAACTGTTTAAACGTCTAAAGCAGATGTAAAGATTGCCTTAAAAATCATGTATGGCAACTTTTATCAGAAATAATGTGAATCTTTCTTCAAACGTTTTATAAGTAATTCTTTGGTAGTCATGCAACTTTCAACATTATTCCATTGTACACTTTCGTAAAGTTATAATGACGATTTTCGCAATTGGGTTCATATTGCCATTTTTCTCCTTTTAATGAGGTCGACGCCACCTTTTATATTGAGTTGATTATTCTTGATGCTGATGTAAAATACGGAACTGTTGCAATAATACTTCATTATTGGGCTGTTTGTGGCGCTTGAGTAGTTCAAGAATCTTTTCTTATGAATTTTACAATATCTCTACATTTCAGATTGTGCCTTTTGTTTTCCATTTAGCTATGAATAAGCGCATAACAATGGGAAAAGTTCATTTCATTGATGATCCATGTCTGTCACACTACACACGCCACCGTGTCGAACTGGGACAGAGGCTGGTTCATACTTGAGCGAATGCTGAAGTGAAGATTTCGCTCAAGTTTAAATGTGCTCACTTAAGAATTCGCAGCGCGAATAGTTGATCTAATGCAATAATTTTGCGTTTGAATTCGCTTTCGCGAAGTATTTATATCCGCCAAAATTTTTTTCTTTTTTACAGAAACACGTGAGGGTTATTGTCGTCTTTTAATCAATGAGATTAAACAAAATAGCTTCAAATCTTATTTAGAGAACTTGTTTTAGTCGACGTAAGTCCTGATCATAATATCCGCAGAAGTTATCAAAACAATACACACGAAAACCTACGATTGGCCAGAAAAAGAGAAATGGTCTGACCTTGTTTTGGATCGAAATATATCGATACCTGATTCCGTGGGTTTTACCCTGGATATTCCTCGTGATTTCCTCCAACCTCTAAAACTGTACCTACTACTTCTCATCATCCTTTCCCTAAAGGTTTCTTCAGGCTTCCGAGCTTACAGCGCCCAGAAGACTTTTGAGCAATTCCTTGGTTTCATTACCAGAAAGAAATACCCAGTAAGGCCCTAGATAAATAAAAATCAAGTATGTTGAAAGAGTTCTCTGAAGGCATATATAGAAAGAAAAAGTATTGATCATTTAATGTTTTCTTCAAGACATGAATACTTTGTAATTCCCATTGTCTCTGTTTATTGGAAACAAAGAAAAACAAGAAACAAAATCATAGACAATAACTTATGTTTGAATATGAAAATAAAGTTAATATACAAAATAGAAATAGAGAGTTATAGACATATGTATACATGTGTATTTACATAAAATAATGTATACATGGAAAAGAGGGGCAAAACATTTACTTTGTACTTTGTTTTGCTCTTTTGTTTCATTCAATTTAAAGTGAAGGATAACTTCGATGTAACCCAATCAAATGAGCAATTAAGCTTAAAGTAAGCATAACTACACATGACACACAACGGAGTTGTCAGCAGTTCTGATGAATTAAGTCTGCCTGAAAGTCGTTCTTAAAGGGACGATCACC